ATCATTTTACCCGAACGCGTGGTGTTCTCCCCAGTGCCAGGGTTTTCATACGACACCAGGCAATACCCCCACTTCGTGGGGGGGCATTACAAGCTCTACCAAATATCCAAACGACTCTTCGCGACCACCCAAACCCAGCTTCCCGCCCTATGACGTTGGGACACTTCACTTCGTGGCGTGCGGACGACCGTGGCTACTACACTGGCGTGGGGTACACACCCACAGAACTTGGTCACTTATTCGGGGCGCGCATGTGCCCAGCATGGTGCAATTGTGCCATACAATACATAATACAGAGAGACAGAGAGAGAGACAGAGAGCAGACAGAGAGAGAGACAGAGAGAGCGGAGTTGGTCACATTTTTGGGTCAAGTTCCTGGGATGATGGGAATACACAACTCTGTTACATTTGATAGTGTGCACGACACACATGAGATGATACGTACTCGCAAGATAGTTGGTCACATTTGTGGAATTCCTGGGCGGATGTGGGGATACACAAATACCTTTGTTACCAGTGCTAGACATGGTACAGACACTGAGAGAGAGAAGGCGAGACAGAGGAAGAGAGCGGGAGAGAGAGAGACAAAGAGAGAGAGACAGAGAGAGAGGAGTTCGTCACATTTTTTAATCAAATTCCTGTGCCGAAGTGGGAATACGCAAAGGCATCAGTGCCAGGGATGATGGCCCTGGCAGGTGCGCAACCGTTGTCGCAGAAGTTCGAAAAAGTTGCTCGCAAAAGCCCGTTTGACAGAAATGTTTAAAAAGTGTTGGGTTTTCCTACGAATCCGCAAGAGCGCGCGGGATGAGATTTTGACATTTTTTTGTTGAAAAACCATTGGTTTTTTGATGTTTTTATGTTAAAATCGCTCCGAACACTAAGCTTTTGGAAGGATTTCGTCTTGCGCGCGCGAATGTCCACTTTACCTTATTTTTTGCAAGGGATTCTTGAAATTTGATTATATTAGAACAAGAAATGTCATTTTATAGTGTTTTTTGCAAGGGAAAACGGATTACAACAAAACAACCGGATCTGGACCCCATCCACTTTTCTGAAGCTTTCGCGAAAAAATGATGAAAATGTAGCTGCGGCCTAGGCGCGGCGGGGGGGCCGTGCACCAGGGGTCCCAACAATAATTATTCTTTAGAATTAATAATGTTCAACAACAACAACGCTCCCGCTCGAGACTTCCTCTGCTTTTACTCAGGGCCGGTGATCTTGCTCGCCGCCGAAAACCGCCGTCCCAACAAAACCAGCGCTCCCGCTCGAGACTTCCTCCCGTTTTACCTTGGACTGGTGCGCTACTCTCTCTCTCTCTCTCTCTCATCGGCGCCGCCCCCAGCAACTACAACGCTCCCGCTCGAGACGTCCTCCCTTTTTCACTCAAGGCGGTGCTCCTCCTCGTCGCCGAAAACCGCCGTCCCGACAAAACCAGCGCTCCCGTTTCCTCCGGTTTTGCGCTGGACTGGCGCCCTACTCTCTTTTGAACTGGCACCGCTCCAAGCGAGAACAACGCTCCCGCTTGAGGCTTTCTCCCTTTTTCCTCAGGACGGTGCTCTTCCTCGCCGCCGACAGCCCCCGTCCCGACAAAACCACGGCTCCCGCTCGAGGCTTCCTCCCTTCTTGCCTAAGGCGGCGTTCCTCTTCGCCGCCGACAACCGCCGTCCACACAAAAACAAGCGTTCCCGCTCGAGACTTCGTTTCGTTTTACGCTGGACTAGCGCCATACTCTCTTCAGCATTGGCGCCGCTCCCAGCAACAATAGCGGCCTTGCTCGAGACTTCCTCCCTTTCTATTCAAGGCCAGGTCCTTTTCTCGCCGCCGACAGCCCCCATCCCCACCAAGGCAATCCGGTCGCTCGATACCGCCTTGTGTTTTACCCTTGGCTGGGGCTCCACTGGCGGTCTCGCATCGGCGTAGCAAGGCGCGGGCATGCGTTTTCGAGGCGGGATGTGTTGAAATTCCTCGGAGGAGGTGTTTGCAAGACCTCTTTGGGCGGGAGATCTGGGAATGGGAATAACGGACCCCACCATAGAACAGGAATCCCCCATGATGGGGATGGTTATCATGATGATGGCTTGCTTCGTGTGGAAACATCGCGCATGAGGGTAAGATGATTGTTGTTGTTATTGTTGTTGTTGCCCGGGGCCCAACAACGCAGTCAAACTTTCCCTGATAAAGACAAGGTGCGAGCCCCGAAGGAGGCGCTTCCAACTTAAACAAAAAACAATGATTAGCGGAGCGGGGGGAACCACAATAATTGTTCTTTAGAAATGAGAAGTCAACAACAACAGCAGCAACAACAACAGCAACAACAGCAGCAACAGCAGCAACAACAGCAACAACAACAACAACAACAGCAACAACAACAGCAGCAACAACAACAGAAAACGCCTGTCGTGATTCTTCAGTGCCTCGAAGGGGGTCCCCCAGCCCAAATTCCCCCCCCGAACGCCCTCGTGAACACGCTCCCGGCCAGGCCGTCCTGGGCCCAGGAGGCCTCGAACGGGTCGCCCGCACCGCTCCGCGGCCGCACGCCCGGCCCTGGTGCCGCCGTGCTGGCGCTGCCTGGCAAGGAGAGCCCGGCACGGAACCGGTGCGTCGCATCGGGCCAGCTGATTCTGGAGTCGATCTCCTGTGCGAACTTCGGTTCCCGAAGAAAACGGGCCTCGCTCCAGAAGCCCTGGGAAGCTTGCCGTCACTTCCAGTGGCGTGAGCGAGGCCTCAGCCAGAGTCTCACCTCCGATGGCCCTTTTCTCGGCCTCAGCCCTGGCTGGGGAGACCATAATCAAATCGATGCGTCGGGTCGGATCGGCGATCGAAGTGAACAGGATCGGCGGCAACCGGCGGCCAAATCGGGAGAAGCCGCATCGGCGGAACTCGGCAGGCTAGCAAAACCCCCATTGAGAAATTGGAATCCACATCGACATCCGAAGACGAAACGAAACAGAATCGGAATCTACCGAAATCGGATCGAATCGACTCGTAGAAGTCGAATGAGTCCTGGAAGGGGGGGGGGCGGCCGTTCGCGACGATCTGGCACCTTCGGAATGCCTTCGGCGAGGCGCAGCTGCTGGCGAGCATCCTGAGGCTGGAAGGCCGCCGAGCACCGACAAAAACATCCGAAAACCTCGAACCTCAAATCCGGAACAATCCCCGGGGTAGGGCTCGCGGGGTCCTCGTTCGGCTCTCCGAACGACTGGACGGACCGACAACATCTGAGAACCGACGAAAACTCTCTAAAATCCAGAAGCATCCCGAGGCTGGCCCGAAAACGCTCGAAAGCATCCCGAGCCCTGGCCAACCGCCGAGAACTGACGAAAACGCTCGAAAACACGCCCAGAAGCATCCCGAGGCTGGCCCGCGAACGCTCGAAAGCATCCCCAAGGCCGTGCACGGCGACGGCAAAACCGAAAACGAAAACCGAGAGAACCGACAACGAAACCGAAAGCATCCAAAATCTTGACAGGCCGAAAGCAGCCCAAAAAGGTGCAACGACACGGCAACGACACAAAAACTAACCGACCGAAAACAACCGACTACGACGCAACCGAACCGACCGAACCGCGAGAGCCCTTGGGGCACCAACCACATGGCATCAACCCGTAGGGCATCAGCGCGCCAATGGCCGACTTTGACAACAAGGCACGATGGGTTCTGCGAACCTTCCATGGGCTCCGCGCCCCTATCATAACCGTAATTTCGACCGGACTTCGTCCAGATTTCGTCGAGACTTCGATCAAATTTCGAGCCGATTTCGTGACGCAACTGGCTGTGACGCAACCGAACCGACCGAGCCGCAAACACCATTGGAGACTCGGGCAGAAGGAGGGAATCAGGCCAAATCGGCTCAAAAACGATCCCCAGACCCATCATGGGGTCCATCTGGTGCACTTTCTCACCTGGATCCGTTTTTCGCGGTTCTGGGGCCCGAGAACGTCCCCTGGAGGCCGAGAAGGGCAAAAAACCTTTCTGGACTTGGACGAGCTTTCGACCGGAGCTCTGGCCTAGCCCGCGCGGGAGGCAGCCCAGCTGCGCCAGGAGGTGCTGCTGCAGGCAGGCGGCCGGCTCCTGGAGGGCACCGGCAGGCCAGAGCCGGCAGAGCGGACCGGGCCGACTCTTGGAGGCGGTTGGGGGGTCTGCACTGGCTGGGACCCCACAAAATGGGCCAGGAGGGGGGAGGCGAGGCCAAGTCGACGCTGATCGGCGACAGATCGACACTAGATAGGCGCTCATCGGCGCCGTCTCATCAATTGCCTGCCAGACGCTACTCGACGCTAACGCATTCTAAAAAGGAATTGCGACGGCCTGCAAGGCTCCCATGTTGGAGGCGGGCGGAGGGTCTCAACTGGCTGGGACCCCAGAAACTGGGTCAGGAGTGGGGCGGCTAGGCCCAGTCCAAATTCGTTCAGAATCGGTCCCCAGACCCCTCCTAACGGTCCTGGGACTCGAAAACGGCCTCTGGAGGCGGAAACAAGAACAAAAAAAAAACAGCTCCAACCCAGAACCTCGAACCTGCCCGCCCCTCCTGTTGACCAGAACCAATGCTGGGCCACCTCAGACCCCCAGACGGCTCCAAGAGCCGACCACAGATCGAGCAGCGGAACAGCCCAGGGCCAGCAGATAACGCACTCTGGCGGGGAGTGGGCGCCCCTGGGCCCGCCAGGGGAGAGGCACACACCGCAAGGACCTGCAGCATCGGCTGCGCCTCGCCAGGGGATGTTCAGGGGAGGCGGCCACCCCGCTGTCCCCTAGCGGCCGTCTTGCCGCGGCTTGGACAGCCATTTCCCGTGCACTTGTCGGTATCGTGCGTGTTTCTTTTGCTCGATGATCCAAGATGCTCTTCAATGGTCCTCGCCGAGAAGAGCTGTACACGTCCGAGCGATGCCAAGCCGTTCTAGTGCGACAAGATTTTTACATTATCCACCTCCCCGGGCCTGGCTCATCCTGGGGCTGTGGACATGTATAGATCTCGTCGCTGCCGCCGTGTGCGCGGCCCGCCGCCAGTGTGCGCGCGGCCAGCGTGTCGGAAAGGGTGGTTGTTGGTGACAGCGGCCTGGGCCTGAGGTCCCCCACGAGGGAGAAAGGAGGGGGCAATCCGAGCTCCTCGGGAGCCCCTCTGCCGAATCGCTGTTGCAGACAAGTGCCTTCCCAAAACCACGGGGAGCGGGAGAGGGACCAGCTCGGCTCTTTCGGGGCATCTCTATCCCCTGAGCCTGGAACAGCCTCAGCTCGTCGAGTGGCATCGCCTGTCTGCTCTTGCTGACAACCTGCACGACCTCCTCGAAGGCCTCGTCGGGCACTGCCTGGAGCCCCGGCACCGCCGCCCACAGCGACCTCAGCTGATCTCTCCGGGTCATCTCGCCCTGCTCCTCTCCCAAGCCGCCCGCCTCGCTCGCGGGCCAGGCGACGGCCACCCTCATCTCCTCCTTCAGCGACCGCGCGTCGACGCGCGCATAGGGAGGCGCGCGGGGGTCGCCGAGCTCGGCTCTGGCGGCGCCCAGCGCGAATCGCACCTGCACGGGCACCCTGTCTGGCAGGCGCGCCTCTCTCGACAAGTCCAGGCCGTGGCCGCCCACGCCGTTCACGTGGCCGAACTCGCCGTCCGGCAGGAGCTGCCCGTCCCCGTCAAGCCCCAGGTCAACCTCGTACACCCCTAGGCCGGCGTCCTGCACCTCCAGACATTGTGTGTGACGTGTGAGAGTGGTTTTAAAACAGGTCCGCCCTATTAGCGCCTATTAGTGCATGTGTCCCTCTTAACGCCTATTATCGCTTATGAATACCAGTTCCCGGTTGCTAGCGCCTATCAGCGCCTCTTGGCGACCACCAATGAGCAATAATCGACGTTAGCAGCCGGGGGAGACAGCAACCCATGTTGACAATGACTCTCACGCATAAAACACCTAACGGACGACCCTGAGAACCGGACAACGGCACACGCCGTCGCGCGAAAATCCTGGCCTGTCGAATCTCTGATGGCCGGCATTCCAACGCGCCCACAGACCAGCCCGATCCAGGGCCAAATACTAGTGCAAATTCCTCTCTGCCCAGGCCAGGCAGGCGTATACACCGATCCTGGGCCCAGGATGAGCCTGGCCAGGATCGGTGTATGCGACTAGTTTCGGCGGCGAGCCCACGGGGGCAGCCAAAAGGGGCGGGCCTTCTCAGAAGCCAGATGGCTTCTCAGGATGCCAGAAGGTTTCCGAGAAGCCCTGCCGCCTTGTGAGAAGGCATATCCCTTCTCGTTTCCAACTCGCGCGCCGCAGCCAATGTGGGATTGGACACATCCTGGCTGGATTCAAACAGACGGACGTTGAAAGAATACGAGAGTCGCATCAGCTCTGGGCCAAAAGGCAAAATCGACAAGCCTGACTTACGATCTACCAAATCACCCCAACCCAAACTAACCCGAAATCCCCAATATCGGATTGGGAAGGGTATTGGCTCCCTCTGTTTTTTAATGCTTCCGGGTGCCCCCCAGTGGGAATGGAGGGCAATTTGGGGCCTTCGGGTTGGATAGGAGTGGTTTGGTAGGTAGTGACTGACGGAGCCTGACTGGCACTGGCCAAGCCATTTTGGGAAGACACACTCTCAGATGAATGGCATGGGAAAGAGGCGCTTCCGCTCGGCAATCAAACGTTGCTGAATTCGCACCATTAACCGAATGAAATTCCGCAGCACGGATTCTGTTTGTTTGCGTGTTTGTCCGCGTCGCAATCGCCCGCGACCCGCCCGCGACACTTCGGCGACCTACCCCGCGACCCACACACCTGGCGCCTTCGGCGGGCTTCTTCAGGAGCCTCGCAGACTACCGACGACCCCGCCTCCCCCCCCTCTCCTGTCCGCCACCGTGGGATGCTGTGGTTCTCTCCCTTCCCCCGGTCCTGCTCCTCGTCCTCCTCTGTCTCGGGCGGGGGGGTCGGTGGGCCTGGCCGGGTGGGGCGGAGGGGGGGGGGCGGGGAGCGGGGGCCCCGCGGGGCCCAGGGGCCTGGCCCAGGCGGGTCGAGCCTCCTCATCCTCGTGCACGGGAGGAGGGGAGCAGCGGGGAGGAGGACCCCGAGGGAGCGGAGATCGCTCTGATTTTCTAAGAGCTTGAGCCCAATCGCATGAGCACGCATGAACATGATGCTCTACTTCTGATTTGACATTCCCTCTGGTACTACGTGTCCCCGATCTAGATACCACAATCTTGGTGCGCTGAATGTATGACACACTCTGGAAAATCAATCGCCGAATTGATCCACCTTAAACCTTATTCTCTGAATGAACCCAACTCAAATCAAGAGACGGGCGAGGGCGGAGGCCGAACGGCGGAGCAATCAAGCGTCGAGATCGAGGAGGTCCTGCTACGAGTAGCTGTCCGTCGTCTCCAATATCCGCCGCATGGTGATCTGCTTTCCCTTGGGCGGTGAGTTGCGCCACCTGCTGGCAGTACGATGCTCCACCAGTAGTTTGAACACGCCAGTCGTGGCGAAGCCGTCCACGATGCCCACCTCCGCGGGCAGGTGGATGAAGTTCCAATTTTGTCCGCTTAGGCGTTCTTCTCTCATGCTTAATATGGCCAGCCTACTTGACTTGTCTGAGAGTGCTCCTTTTGACGCCGCAATACAGTTGCCAGAAGTCCATGCAGTCCGCGCAGTGGTCGGTCCTGACATGACACAACGATCTGTCGAAATGTTATATCATGTTCTTGGCCTTGTGCTGGGTCTCTCCGCACATGATTATCTCGCTCGGCCTCGGGGTTTTTAGCTGGGCCATCTGTTTCAGTTGTTGCCCGCATTCGTCTCTGCGCTGCACATCGAATGTGATATTCGCCTTGCTGTCCTGAGGATATCATCCATGAGTGTGTCATGCCACCTAGGACACAACTGTCATCAACATGTAATGTGCTCTTCTTGCCAATAATGACCAGGTCCATGTGGTCCCCCACGAGGAAAACTGTTGCTCCTTCCTGTGGATATGAGGTCGTGGTGTTTCCGTGCCCGGCGTCGCCAGCTGAGAGCAACCTCGCGGGATAGGATGTGGGATCAAGAGTGCAAGCCGGTCATTTACATGCTTCTCTTGGCCCGATCGAGAATGAGGTGCACCTGGTTGAGATGCTGGATGGTGCTCTTACGGGCCGTCTGTTGTAGTTGGACCGCGTCGCAATATGTCCTCGCATCTGGAACAACCAAATAAGTGAGCAGAGCGCCTGTCTTGCATCATCAATCATCGCGTCGCACTCGTGATCCGCCGTGTCATCGAGCTTCAGCGGGATGTCGACTCCACTGCAGCCGCGAGTCCTTCGCCAATACTATGATATCGTCCACGTGCACCGCCCAAACCATCATTGCGCTGTCCTCTCTGACCCACATAAAGAAAATGCCGTCAAATAAGCAGGTCATAAGCGCGTGTAGTGTCAAGAGCTAACTGCAAAAGTAATGGTGCGTCCACTGTGCCGTAGATGTGCTTCAACAGCTGCGACGCAAAGAGAGCTGTCTCAAATTCGGGGATCTGGAGGGTCGTCAGGCGTTAGCCCGCGGCGGAGGATAGACCTCGCACTGCTCGCGAACTTCGAAGCCGATGCGCGTGGCGTGCTTCCGTAGACGCTCGTAGTTCAGCCCGTGCAGGGACGCCGTCGAGACGTCACGCGTCTTCATCACCATGTCCTTCCCAGTGGAACACAGTGACGCAATCATTTGCTGGGGCAACCTCGATGCCGTTGTCGAGTGCCTCATGACGTTCTGCTTCTGGGCGCCTGGGAAACGTCTGCCTCCCAGTCGAGACTTAATGATGCAGGTGCTGTTGTTGCTCTTGTTGAAGACACTCTCCCAGCGTCTCACCCGCGCCGTGTCGATCACGCTCGCGCAGCCCATGTTGTGCTGGTGGTCCATGAAGCGAGCATTGTCAATGAATGAGCACGATTCGGCCAGCCGCCTCCACTAGAGGCCAGTGGTTGAAGATGCCCCACTTGATTAATGCGTCGTCACTCTGGACAAGGATGGCCCTACCTGTGATCAAAGCGAAGCATGAATTCCTGCTTTCCTCGCCTCCTCTGCGGTCTTAATGAATTCGTTGATGTTCATCCGCTGGAGGTTATCAGGAGCTTCTTGGAACGTAGTCGTCATGATCGCCTGGTACTCAGTCAGCTCCTCGGTGCCCATGTGGGCGCCAATGAGACGCCTGTCCTCGATGCGGGGTACGCCGAGTTGCTGATCTCCGGAGGCCACGAATGTCTCCCATCCTTGCGGGCGCTTCGCGTGCGTCAGCCGCAGTGGTGAAGTCACTTGCGGGTTGTCTGGAGATGTTGGTTCCAAGACAGGCAATGGTCGTTTCGTCGATGGTGGTCCCGAGGCGGCTCGGATCCTGGCCCTCTTGATCTTCGGAGGTCGTGACGGTGGCGCAATAATCTTTGCTTTTTCTAGGTCGGTCGTTGTGTCGTGCTTTCTTGATGGTGGTGCTCTTGCTTCCCAACCCCTCGCCGGTGTCGCAGCTGCTGGAGGTCCAGAATCCAATGCTGGTGATTCGTCGTCGTCGTATACCAGGGTGCTCTTTCGTGCTCTGGAGTCGACGCTTGGTTGTCGGCTGCCTGTGGTGCCGTCGGGGTAGGGACTCCTGGTCGAGTTGGTGGTGTAAATGCTGTAGGTTGGGCTCCTGATGATGACGCTGCGGTTGTTTCCGCGGTCCTCGTCGGCGCGGAAGCCGACGGTGCTGGCGTAGGAATTGTTGGTCGAAGTGGAGCCGTTGGAGTTTGAAGTGGGGTGTCTGTCGCTGGTGTTCTCGTAGGCGTTGTCGGTATAGTTGCTGTACCTGGTGGTCTCTCGTGGAGAGAGGGGCTCGATGTGTCAGTTCGTTCTGCCAGCGAGGCGTTGATCTGCTGAGCCTCCGCCGTCTCGCTTTTGGCGTCGGCGCTGCAACTGGCGTCGGCGAGGCGGCTGGGCCCGATGGGGTTTCCAGTCCAGCCGCTGGAGGCGGCGGTGCCGGAGCTCCACTTCTCCTCCTACACGTATGAAGAATTCGTCACTGACCATGCCAGCGTCATCTACCGATATCATTATCGGGCCCTCTCGAGCTCGCCGGTCTTTGTGCCAACTGTTGTCGCCCCGCAGCCTGATTTGCATAGGTCCTGCTAGTGGAAACGGATGTCTTGGAAGGATGTTGTTCGCGATGCTATCGCCATCCTCCTGCCGTGCCATGTCCGCGCTGATGTCGAACGCCTGTGGGCTTCTGGCCCGTAGCTGGCGGAGGTCCTGGAGGCGGTCCTCCACTTGCTGGTCTAAACGGTAATGCATCAGACCAATCATGCAATTGGGCGATGAGTTCCGGATGCCGGTAGTGCTAGGGAGGTCGTGGCCCGCTGCGTCGTCCATTAGCTTCCGCCACTCTGCCACTGGAGGTGCTGGAGGCGGCGCTGGTGGTGGCTGGCGCCAACTGGGAGATAGCGCGGATACTTCGTCTCGGCCAAGTGATAGTGGCCATTGACGTGGTAGGTCTGGCTGACCAGCGTCATCTGGGTCGAAATCGATGCTGGAGATGTCCGCGAAGTCTGGCATCCAGCGCTGTCTAGCGCTGTCGGCCTCGACCAGGGCCCCGAAGGTGCAGAACATGACGCTGCAGACATTGACGTCCTCCACGTCTGATATCATCGGCAATCTTTCCAATGTCTGCCGGCTCGGATCGATTCCCTTCGCTGCGT